GGTGGCCGGGAGTGGCCACTGCACTCCAGTCTGGGCGACAGAGTGAGAATCTAACTCCAAACAAACAAACAAACAAACAACAAAAAAAGTTTATTTACTCTCCAAGAGAGGAGAGGGACAGATGGTAAGGAAAGCAGCCCAAATGCTTGAGGCTGGGAGGTTATAAAGTTTCTTCAGGAGGGCAGGCAAGCATTCTTGGGTGGGATAACACAGGGGTCATTGCCACGGTGAGGAGGTCATGGTAAAGACATCTTACCTCTGAGTAGATGGATGGGTAGATCAGTCACAGGCACTAAGAAAAAGGGTGGGCCAGTAGCTGGAAGGTAAGTTCTTGGGACAAAGATGTTAGTCTTAATGTCTTGTGACCTAAAAGAATGAGACTGATTGTTCTTCTGGTAAGGGATTATTGTTGTTTGTGTACAAGCCCACCCCATCTCACAGACTTGAAACCTGTTATTTTGTCTGCTCCTGAACTGCAGTCTTGATGGTCTCTTATTCTTCCTTGGCCATCATGAGCTTCATCAAAAAAGACAGTCCTTCTCAATGCTATGAAGAGTCGTAGCTGACTGAGAGGTCCATACGTGCAAGCAGAGTTCTGTGCTTACCTCATAGAATCCTTAAGACAGTCTGATAAGAGGCAAGCACTCTCCACTGCTCCATTTCTCAGATGAGAGACTGAGGTACAGAGAGTAAAGTGCTTTGACCAAGACCACAGAGCTATTAACAACAGACTTTGATTCAAAACACTGTGATATATTTCTTTACCACTAGGCCAAATGGTCTGAGAACTGAAGTCAATCAGTAACCCTTGGTGATGAGTCTATAGCCCTTGGTGATGGCACACTCTCACTGCAATTTCACTTCCACACCTCCCAGCTTTAGCCCCTCTCCTAAGTGGATTCTCTCAAAGAGCAGTAGCCAGGTCACCCTGGGTTCTCACACTTGCTGGTTTGCTGTTATGACTTCAGAGTCATTCACTCCTCACTCTTCTCCACCCTGTAGCTCTGAACTGGGCTGTCTGCCTTCTAACAGGCAGTTTGAGGCCGTGAATAATCCCTAACAACTGACCTCAAAGCTTACCTAGTGACAGCCTTGAGCTTGTGAAGCTGCACATCATTTATTTGCCTTTTCAATTGTGTTTCTAACCATAACACCCTTCCTACCTATCCCCTGACAGCATTCTCTGCCGGAACTTTTCCTGTTTCTGGATGAAGACTGTACAGTCTGTTTGATTGAAAGTCTCAAACAGAGTTCCCATGGGATCTAGTCTACATCTGTGAAGGAGGGCAAAAATCTTGAATTAAGTTGTTTTTGCAATCCATCTTTTCTGCCCTTCTAATGTCATTTTAAAAACGCAAGTAATTCTGGTTCTTCCTAGACAACCAGTAGCAAACCATACATCTTTTTCTCCAAAATTATAATTTTGAATTCCACAAGTCTCCTATGGTTTTTTGACACTGACTCTGAGTGTGTTATGAGTCAGTACACCTCTTATTTGATTGACTTCTGCTTCCTTTCACTACACATTCAAATTCTGACAGCTGTGATACAATTGAACGATAATAGAAGACTTTTACTTGAGAGGTAACTTGGTTTCTCACTGTGAGGTCAATATCTTAACTATAATCCTAAAATACAATGGAGATGTCCTAAACACAGAACATAGTCTGGTACCATAAATAAGATAGGTTACAGGGTGAAACTTAGAAAAACTGTGACCAATCTAATGAAAGTAGCCCCTGGGGAGGACATTTGTCTTTGGCAATGACTTTTTTCTCTATATGACCAGTCTCTAGAAACCGAGTCTTGGATTAAATATAATCTCAACTTCATTATACATTAAATGGATGAGAAAAGCTTTCTGAAAGCATTCAAGTAGAAATTTCTGAGATTTAAAGATATCGGACCATATTCAAGTAACCGGTTTATTCCCTAGTAATCCGGACTGCCTGGTAGTTTTAGTTGGTGAGGCAAGAAAGAAAGACAGGGCTTGAATTTATAACACAAAGCAGAGCTCTGAGGGTTGGATGAAGCCGTGAGGATAGGAAAGTAAAGTACCCACTGAGGACAGTGGTTTCTCCCAACGGAGAAAGCTAAAAATAAGGAGCTTTAGTAGAACACTCTTTCATGCATATATAAAGTTATGTTTACCTTGACACTCTCTGCAATAGACATTTGTGCTCCCCCAAATTTGTGTGTTGAACCCCTAATTCAGTTGTGATGGTATTTGGAGGTGGGGCCTTAGGGAGAAAATGAGACCATAAGGGTGGAGCCCTCATGAATGGGGTGCCTTTATAAGAAGAGGCCAAAGAGCAAGCTAATTCTTTTTCTAGCTAGTTCTTTTAGTTTGTTGTGAAGATACAACAAAAAGTTGGCAGTCTGCAACCTGGAAGAGGGCTCTCACCAGAACCAGGCAATGATTATGGCAAACTCCAGAACTGTGAGAAATAAATGTCTGTTCTTGATAAGTACTCAGTTTATGGCATTTTATTATAGCAGCTGAAACTAAGATGTCCCCTCAGGAAACATGGACTGCAACAAACCCTCAGTAATTAAGGCATGGGTTGGAACTTCCACCTTGTCTAAAGTTGTAGAGGCTATGCTTGGCACCATCTCACTGCCAAGGGAGCAGGTCAGACGTCCAAGTTCTCTGCCGAAATGGAAAATTCAGTTTCCTTCCCTCTCTTGCCAGACAGTCGGACTCTCCTGGCGCCCTCTTCTGTCTATGAAGGAGATAGCATAACTCTGACATGTTATGGAGAAAATTTGAAAATCAAGACGGTGACTTACTACAAGGATACAAAAAAATTAAATTTATCGAAAGGAGTCTTAAGGTTTTCTATCCCAAGAGCAGTTTTGAGCGACAGTGGCAACTATTACTGTACAGTTACTGAGAAAAGACTCTGGTGGTGGACAAAAACTTCAAAAACAGTAAAAATCAAAGTCCAAGGTAAGACCTTTACTCCTGTGGGATGGGCTGGGCAGGGGACCATGGCAGCAAAGTAGGGTGGGTACCCAGTAAGAAAAAGCTGCCCATGAGCCAAATATGGATTAGAGTGGTTTTGACAGCAAGGGAGCTGTGGTGAGTGAGACGTGTCTTGCTCTGAATGTCCTGTTTGCTGGAGTTGGTCTCATCAGGGGCTTTTCAGCAGGAACCCTGGATCTCACTGCTTTGGGGACTGTTGTGACCCTTTTCTCTAGAGTTGTTTCAACATCCTGTGCTGACCGCCAGCTCCTTTCAGCCCACTGAGGGTGTTCCAGTGACCCTGACATGTGAGACTCGGCTCTCTCCACAGAGGTCAAATATTCAGCTCCAATTCTGCTTCTTCAGAGATAGTCATGCTCTGGGGTCAGGCTGGAGCAGCTCTCCAGAGCTCCAGATTCCTGCAATATGGAGTGAAGATGCAGGATATTACTGGTGTGAAGCTGAAACAGTGACTAACAAAGTCAGAAAACAAAGTTTCCAATCCCAGATTCATGTGCAGAGTAAGTATCAGTGGGGCTGAGCCTGGGGAAGAAAAAGAGGAGTCTTGGAGCTCCAGCATGGATTGCTAGTCTTTTTGTTTCTTTGTGCAACTCTTGTCCTTGAGGAAAGAGGGAATTGGACTAGAGAAACTCCTCAGATTACTCCTGGCTTCTCTCTTTTTAAGAATCAGAAATATACTAACCAGTGGTCCCCAACCTTTTTGGCTTCAGGGACTGGTTTTGTGGAAGACAATTTTTCCACAGATGGGTTGGGAGATCATCAGGCATTAGATTCTCATAAGGAGCAGGCACCCTAGATCCCTCACATGTACAGTTAACTATAGGAGCCGTATTCCTATGAGACTCTAATGCCACAGCTGATCTTACTGTAGGTGGGCCTCCTCTTGCCTGGTGTTCATCTCCTACTGTGAGGGCCTGTTCCTAACAGGCCACGGACTGGTATCCGTGTGCAACCCGGGTATTGGGGACCCCTGCTCTAAGCTACTTGCAACCTTTCTCTTCTTTTTCTTTTGAGGCAAAGAAAGAAAAGTTTATTTAAAAGTAAATTAGAGAGAGAAAAAGAAGGAAGAGAGAAGATTCACCTCCCCAAGGTGGGAGAGGGGACCAAAGCCAGGAAGCATGGTGACAATCATAGCTCAAAGAGCACATGGCCACACCAGAGTCTAGCAAGGCAATGGCCCTCTCTTCTTTATTAATTGAGTAACATTCATTGTGCCTTGGCATTTAGCAGTGGACCAGGTACTTTAAAAGGCAAGGCACCAAATCTCCAATGACTCTCCAAATGGCTCCACATGCTAAGATTGCAACATAATTGGACCTATTTAAAGGCGGTGTGGTGTGACAGCATATTGGGCTAAATGAAATGTCAGGTGAGGAGAGAGGTTGTGATTTGGTTGAGGCTTGAAATTGGGAATAATGGAGGAATTGTTATTGGGATTGCTATTAGGAACATTGCCTTCTCTGAGATTAGACTGAGGCTACCAGTGACCCTCCCTGTTCTGTGCAACAGGCATTTGCCAGCATGTGACTCATTCACAAAAATTTGGAAGTTTCCTGTCTCATGAAGTGATATTCAGGGGGCACAAGTCCATGTTTGTCGAATGGACATGTTGCGTCGTGGTGGGGACTGGGCTACAGGTCTCCCAGACAGTGAACATTATACCGGATAGGTAATTTCTGAATCCTAGTTCTTCTCCACACTTTCCCCTGTTTTCGTGTCCCCAGTGTCTATGATCACAAAATCTTTAATTGTCATTTGAAATTAGCCAGGATCAGCGTGAGGACATACAAGTGTCTTTATGCACATTTTTCAAGGATAGTTGTCATGGATTCCTTACCTTTGTAGGGATACTTAAAATAAATGACAGATATCCCCTACTCCTTGGCTTAGACAGTGAAATCAGTCTACCCACTGTTTCCACAGTTTCCCATAGCCAAATTCTCACCTGTTACCTTATATCCATCTAGGAGTCCCCATCTCTAATGTAAGCTTGGAGACTCGAGCCCCTGGGGGCCAGGTGATCGAAGGAGGGGAGCTGGTCCTGCTCTGCTCAGTGGCTGAGGGTACAGGAAACATCACATTCTCCTGGCACAGAGAGGTCACAGGAACCAGTCTGGGAAAGAAGACCCAGCGTTCCCTGTCGGCAGAGCTGGAGATCCCAGTTGTGAAGGAAAGTGATGCTGGCGAATATTACTGCAGAGCTGACAATGGCCATAACCCCATCCAGAGCGAGGTGATGAATATCCCCGTGAAAAGTGAGTTATATTCTCATTCCTCTGTACTAGAAATTCCAGAGTCAAGGTCACAGTAGCCAGGAGTCATATAGAAATTCCAGAAGTTTTCAGGGATCACTTCTGTGGAAAGCTAAAAGCAATTTGAAAATGGGTTACCTTTGCAAGTGATAATGTTTGCTAATTTCTGCTTTTTGTGGAAGGAACCATAAAGGGTTAGTGCATGGAAAAAATCAGGCTGGAGCAACAAATGACCATGTCTCTAGATGAGATCGTAGAATTGATACTTCCCTCAAATTTCTGAATGCCTTATTGAGAAAAGTGCCTCTGATTGTTCTGGTGGGGGTGTGGGAGTGGAAGGAATGCACAATGCCTCAAGGACCAGGCCCCTTGCTGGGATCCTACAATGGGATTTTGTATCTAGAGCAACACCAAAAAAAAACCTCACTTGGGGCCATGGTGGCTCACACCTGTAATCCCAGCACTTTGGGAGACTGAGACAGAAGGATTGCTTGAGCCCGGGTGTTAGAGACCAACCTAGGTAACATAGCAAGACCTTGTCTCTACAAAAAAAAATTTATCTGGGTTTGGTGGCGTGTGTCTGGAGTCCCAGCTATTCAGAAGGCTGAGGCAGAAGGATCACCCGAGCCTACAATGTCGAGGTTGCGGGGAGCCGTGATTATGCCACTGTACTCCAGCCTGAGCAACAGAGTGAGAACTCGATTCAAGAAAAGAAATCTTCTCTGATAACTCCTCTGTGTCTGTCAGTTCCAGTGTCTTGCCCCATCCTTACCCTCAGGGCTCCCAAGGCCCAGGCTGTGGTAGGGGATGTGGTGGAGCTTCACTGTGAGTCCCTGAGAGGTTCTCCTCCGATCCTGTACCGGTTTTATCACAAGAATATCACGTTGGGAAACAGCTCAGCTCCCTCTGGAGGAGGAACATCCTTCAACCTCTTTCTGACTGCTGAACTTTCTGGAAACTACTCCTGTGAGGCCGACAATGGCCTGGAGGTCCAACGCAGCGAGGCGGTACCACTCTCCATCTCCGGTGGGTGGGTGGAACCTGGATCCAGAATATTGTGATTAATGGCTCTGTCCCACCAGTCTTTGTTGGTACCATTCTGGCATTTCAGAAGACAGGTGATGCCCTGGGAAATGTCTGGTGTGTGGGAGTAGAGGGGAAGGTGATCTTAGTGTCTATGTTTCTCTTCTCCTCACACTAATTTGAAGAGTATAGATTATACTTAAATGACTTTTTTCAAAAATGTATATTTATCATTCTTTTCTTTTTTCTGCATGGAATCTTTTTTTTTTATTTTAATTTTTTTATTTTAAACATATTTTTTATTTTAAAATTGTGGGGTACAGTTAAGGGTTAGGTATACAAATATGCATCGTTCAGGCACCCTTGTATATTTGTCATTCTTACATAGTATTGATAAGAAGGTCCAGGCAGGGCGCAGTGGCTCAGTCTGTAATCTCAGCACTTTAGGAGGCCGAGGCAAGAGAATTGCCTGAGCCCAGGGGTCCGAGATCAGCCTGGGCAACTTGGGGAGACCTCGTCTCTACAATAAATAAAAAAATAACCCAGGTGTGGTAGTGCATACCTGTAGTTCCAGCTACTTGGAAGGCTCAGGTGGAAGGATCATGTCAGCAGGTCGAGGTTGTGGTGGTTGTGAGCGTGCCACTGCACTCCAGCATGGGTGACAGAGTGAGACTACAATTCAAAAAAAAAAAGGTCCAAGTCTTTTCTCTTTGAGGCTGAAGTACTGGTGTCTTCCCTTAGGGTCTGGTGGCTATAGAAGAGACCTTGTCACAGCCAGAGCTCTTGGGGGACTGTTTGGTGTCCTTGGTTTCATTGGTGCTGCTTTTCTGTTTTATTGCTGGTCCCACAAAATATCAGGTTGGTATCTACTATTTGTGTTTTCCTTATTTTGCTACGACCTTTTCCATTATAGATATAAATTGAATTTGCAAAAATAAAAATTTTTTTAAAAAGTAAGAAAAGAAGCTGGGCTCAGTGGCTCAGCCTGTAATCCTGTGCCTTTGGGAGGCCGAGGTGAGTGGATTGCCTGAGACCGTGGGTTCGAGACCCTCCTGGGCAACTTGGTGAGACCTCATCTCTACAATAAATCAAAAAATCAGCTGGGCGTGGTAGTGCATGCCTGTAATTCCGGCTATTCGGAAGGCTGAGGCAGAAGGATCGTCGGAGCCTAGCAGGTCGAAGCTGTGGTGGCCAGGAGCGGCCATCGCACTCCAGTTTGGGTGACAGAGTGAGACTCCAACTCAAAAAAAAAAAAAAGTAAGAAAAGAAAACCTTCCAAAATCCAATAACTTCTTCCTTTGCTTCACAATTCTTCAAGTTTCCAGATAATGCTGCCATGCCATTAATTTTATAACAGTTCATTGTTCCCTGTGTGGAGTCACTTGAGATTAAGATATTAACACATTCCTCCATGCTTGACTTACATTAAAAAGTCTAATTATTAAATGTCATTGAATAATTTTCTTTTCAAATTATTTTCAATGGATATAACCAGTTTATATGCAATGGAATAAAAATATAACAAGTGGCTAGCTTTAAAGGAGTCAAAACAACTTAGTATGGTCTTTTTTACTTATCCATTTCTTATTAGTTACACTCTTCATGACAAAAGCACTGACACCTCTTTAAATTATTGGGTCCATGGACCATAAGGGGCCTGTCTTTACCCACAGGCCTGGTGGTTGATGCTGGCTGTAGGTTGGGATCTCCGCTGAAGATCCTCTAGAGCACATGCATGCAGCCTCTCAACGTGGCCTGGGTTTCTTCCCAGTGTGACCGACCTCAAGGGAGTCAGACTTTTAATATGTTGGTCCCAGCTCCAAAAGCAAGTGTGATAGGGAAGCTGCAATGCCTTTTATCAACTGATTTCAAAATTATGATGTTGTGTACGTTTATTTTATTAGGTCCTAGTGTTTCACAGATATTGAATCTTGCTCAGATATAAGGGGCAGAGGGCAGACTCCACCTCTAAATGGGAGGACTGCCGAAGATTCTGCAGCCATATTTTAAAAATTCACCTCCCCTTCATGGATTTCAATCCACGTCTCCAAACTCCACATAACTTTCAAAAGCACAAGCCTCTTGGCTGCCCTCTCTGGAGGGCAAGTGTCCAGTGGAAAAAGTAGTTCTAAAAACCAGGTTTATCTCTCTAAGCCTCTCTTCTTCCTTGTCACAGTAATGTTTCACTATTTTATTATGACTTCAGTGCCCATAAACAGACTGTTAAGAACATTTTGCCCAGCATTTCTAGTTGTTCTTAGTAGAAGGGTTAGTTCAAATTTCTTCATTCACTGGAAACCTAAAGGCATGCACCTTTCATAACCAACACTTTCCTAAAGCTACTGTGTTCATATTTTCAGCATGACTATTATTTTTGCAACATGTTATTTTTAAGATCATGAATTTATTTTATTTTTTCATTTTTTAAACTCAGGTGATATTTATTTTTAAAAAGGATTTTCTTTTGCAAAAGTACTTATAGCTTTGCTAGTATTTGTATGAGTGTGTGAAGTATCATGCAGTCAAAAGATATAGTTTACAAATACATTTTACGGAAAGTATTGATTAGATAAGGTGATGTATACCTGTATGGGCAAAATGAATCCAATTTGGACATTGTCATATCCTGTTCATTTGGAGGCTCTGATTTTTCAGCATTAATAAGATTTTTTAAAAGTAAATTTCCTTAACAATTAATTGGCATGTTATTTACTTCGTAATTCACTAGGCTATTTGTTAGATATAATAGGCTTGGATTTGCATGTGACCATCTGAACTGTAGCAGTGCATTTCAAATGCTGCCTCCAAAATAACATTTCTGTGGAACTTAGGAATCTCTTTCATTTGAGCTTCTTAGTATTTTGTTTACACTTTATATTATGGTCTACACTTCTGCTCTATTTTAAGAAATATCAAGAATTTAGAAAATTCCTCTGAGTTATTTTTTATACTGATCCCTATTCTACCGGTCAAAAACAAACTACCAATGAACCAATTATTGGGTCAATTATGTATGGCAGCTTTACATATATTACCTATTATTACTAAAAGTTGTTTTTCTCTGTATTTTAGAAAAAATATAAGCAGTAAATTTTTTTTATTTTTAAGCGTGTCTTCTATGTTTAACAACAGAAGCAGTTAAGTAGTTTGCTGTGCTCACTCAGTCAGTAGAGGGCAGAGCTAAGACTAGAATCCATTTCTGCCTGACTGAAAGCCTCAGACGTAACTGTTTTTCTCTTGTAAGTTTCACTTATTTCAGTAAAATGTTACTTATTTAACCTTTCAGATACAGACCATATGGGATACTATCAGAATCTCAATGATAACTTTGAAGCTCATGCAGAACACTTTCATACACTTATCCACTACTAGCAAGTGAAAGAAAAAAAATTTTCCATATAGTAAACATTGAAGTCAGTATTTTCTTATCTTTTTAAAAAAAATTTTTGCATACTGATAAGCAACTATAAAAAAAGAAAAATAATAATTTTATTTTATTTTAGACTCAGGGGGCACTTGTGAAGTTTTTTTCCATTACATACAATGCTACAATAAATTTTCTTTTAGATGTCATTTCTTACGTGTCAGTGTATCTGTAGGATTAATTCCCAGACATAAATCTAGATCCAAGGTAGATTAATTTGATGGATATTGTCAGTGTTAGCAGCTGTACCAAATTATGCTTCCATGAGGACATGTCAAGTTCTTTTTTCATGACACACTAGCCACACATATTATAAGCTTTTAATTTGTGTCTGCTTGCTATTTGAGAAACACTAATGCCCTGAGCTTTTATTTATGTTTCTCTTTACTGTGAGCTCTTTATGTCATTTCATCATTTTTGTATTAGATTTTTGGTATTCTTCTTTTAGATGATTTTTTTCACCCTTTTCCCTGTGATATGAGTAGTGAAAATGTTTCCCAGTCTACACCTTGCATTGCCTTTCATGGTGATATTTTTCTATGCAAAAGTTATTTTTATGTGGTCTAACTTATCAATTTTTTATTTTATGGGCTCTTTGTTTTATGGCATATTTTGGAAGAGCTTCCCATTCTTAGATGGTAAAAAAATTTTTTTTCCATATTTTCTTTCAAAATTGAATTTTTTAATATTTATGCTTAAATTTTTTATCTATCCAGAAATGTTTTTGAATAAGTACTAAACTCAGAATCTAACCTTTTTCTTTCAGATAGAGATTTAGTTATTTTTATACGATTTAATTAATAGTATTTTTTCAATAAAATGATGATTTTGTAATATACTATGCTGTTGTGATAGATAAGAAATATACAGTATATTTGGTCTTTTTCCCTAGCTCCTGACACCCAGATCCTAAAATCCTAGGAATTACCTGAGTGTTGAGTGTCTTTAGTATGCTAATGAGATGACTCTTGACTGAGGAACGCCTGGAGAGATTCAGGGTAGGAGCTGGTGCACAGAAAGATCAGCCCTGTGATTAGAGGGATTTAGAGTCTATCACACTCAGTGATCTATCACAGAAACAAACAACAGAGCATGTTCTCACTCATAAGTAGACCCTGAACATTTACCATAATACTATAAGAAAGGGATTGGCAGTAGTGAGATACTGCTGGGGTAGGTGGGTGGGTGGGAGGGAGCACACCATTAATAAGGGTACCTGATCTCAAACCAGGCAAAGTGGGGACCAAAGGGAGGCCCAAACTTTTCCTATATGATGACCACTTGTATATCTAATCCTGAATTGTACCCCACACCTTTAAAATAAAAATAGATTTTATAAAAAGGAAATTTCAGTCCTATTCCTGGGCCTCTGGGAAGGGGAGAGGGTCTGGAGATTGACTTAATCACCAATGGCCAGTGATTTAATCAATCGTGCCTACATAATGGAACCTCTATAACAACCCTAAACAATGGGATCTAAGCCTGGCTCGGTGGCTCAGCCTGTAATCCCGCGCCTTTGGGAGGCTGAGGTGAATGGATTGCCTGAGCCCCGCCTGGGCAGCGGAACCTCATCTCTACAGTAAATCAAAAAATCAGCCGGGTGTGGTAGCGCATGCCTGTAATTCCGGCTACTTGGAAGGCTGAGGCGGAAGGATCGCCGGATCCCAGCGGGTTGAGGCTGCGGTGGCCGGGAGCGGCTACTGCACTCCACTCTGGGTGACAGAGTGAGACTCCAACTCAAAAATAATAATAATCAAAATAAAATAAAATAAAAACAATGAGATCTGGGAAGAATCGGGATAGGTGAATGCATCCATGTGCCAGGATGGTAGAGTGTCCCATCCCCATGAGAACAGAAATTTCTGTGTTCCATACACTTCCAGACCTTACTTTATTTACCATCTCATCTAGCTGTTTCTTTGTATCTTTTATAATATCCTTTCTAATAAACCAGTAATAGTTATGCTGCCGATTGCAAGTTCTGCTACTCATTGCTTGTGGACCAAAATAAACAAGCATGAGATATAGTGAAAGAAAGGTGACCTTATTCCAAAAGCCAGTGGATAAGGAAATGGCTGGGTTCATGCCTCAAATAGATCATTAAAAATTTTTAGGCTAAGGATAGAGGATATTAAGGGGAAAGAATGGAGTGAGCAATATCTGGGAGCAGGACAGGGAGCTGATCTTACTTCCATGATTATCTCAAATCACTGCCCACCTGGAGTGCTGGTGGATATAGTCCTAATTATGAGCAGTGGAAAATTATACCATGAGGTCTCCAGGCTCTGCTGTTACAAGATCAGCCTCTGGAATTTTTCAAGTAGGTACATAATTCAATTAGATAAGGAAAAATAAAGTTTTGAAGTGTAGGCTAAGAGAGAAAAAGACTTAAAATCGTTTCTCAAAAGCTAAAATGCCGGCTACTTGGAAGGCT